ACCACCGAGGGCAGCCTCTCCTGTTGCTGGTAGCTGACTGCGTGGGCTGACAGCCACACACACTGATGTCCCCACCCTCTTCATCTTCCCCATGCTCGTTATTTCTCAGCCAGCTCTTTCACTTCTTATATACAAGTCCTGTTAAAACTTTTACTTTGTACATCATCCTAAGACCTTTCTGGAACAAATTGCGTTATAAGCGAATATATAAATAAGAGCATGGCCTTCCAAGTAAGGCGGTCTGGGCTTAAATCTCAGCTCCAGCCTCTCGGGTGGGTTACTTCTCCTTTGGAAGCTGTTGCTTCTTTAGCTGTGAAGAGGTGGGATAGCTGTGACTTTACGTGAGACCATGTGCATGGGGATTCCTCAGCCCCTCTGCCTCACTGAGGTGCAGAATGGTCACTTATCTTGAGCAAAGTCTCCTGAGTCCCAGCTCAGTTTTCTTAGGATTTCATTTTATCAAGTCTCAGGGAAACAATCTGTATTTTGAGGAATTTTAAATACAGCACCTTATTTTACCAAACACTTAGAAAGAAATGGTATATGTAGAATATTTATGTAGTGGCTACTGCTCAATTAATGTTAACCCAAACATAGAAAATAAGCTTTTCCAATGAAATGAAACACATTTTATATTGATTTTGCATTATTTAAGACATACAGCGAACTAGAAAGTGTAATTTAGTGAACACCTATCTACTCACTACTCACTGCTTAAGAAAATAGATGATGAACAGTAGCTGAAGCCTGGTATTTCCTTCCCTGAATTCATGCCTCTCTCCACCAGCAGGACACTTGCCTCAGCTGGGAATCTATAAGCATTTCTCTGTACAGTTATAATATATTCCTAAACTATATTTGTGTTAATATTCTAAAACTCAGTAGTATTCTAAGGCATGTGTGTATTTTAAACTTTTTTATTTGATGTTTGTGAGATTCGTCTATTTTGAATGGGTAGCTCTAGTTGATTCATTTTTGTTGTATAATATTCCATTACATGACTGTTCCTCAATATATTAGTTTTTCTGGTGATGATGTGAATGGATTACAGATTAGACTGTTTCCAATTTTTGGTTATAAATCTTCTCCAAATATTCTCATAAATGCCTCCTTATATACATACCCCAGAGAAACACTCACATAGGAGTTGGATTGTAGGATATGTATTCCTTCATCTTTAAAAGAAACTTCCAAATGTTCTTCAAAGTGGCTGGACCAGTTTACACACCCACCAACAGTGCACGAGCTCCTGTGGGTCTACCTTCTTGCCCATGCTGGAGAGCATTTGACTTCTTAATTATACCAGTCTGTTGATTTAAAAAATGACTGGTGTGTCATTGTCATTAAAAATTTTTATTTTCCTGATAACTAAAGGTGGAGCATTCCTTCATACTCATTTCTTATCCTGTGAATTTATTTTTCAAATTTTTGCCCAACTTTCATCTTGGTTCTCTTTTTATTGACTTTTTAAAGGTTTTGTTATATGTTCTGGTTATTAATACTTACTGGTTTCTTGTATTTTAGATAGCATTTCTTGGGCTCTTACATATCTTTCTTTTCTTGCCTCTGTGCCTTTGCTTATGTTGTTCCATAAGCCTGAAATTCCCTCTCCCGGCCCTGTCCCTACATCTTCTATTCCTCATGACCTGCTTGTCTGCACAAAGCCTTCCTTGCTCTCCCCACCTTCAAAACCAGAAGTGTTATCTCCTTTTTCTCAGCTTCTGAGGGAAAATGTGTATCAACCAGAATTCTGTATCTTGCTAAACTATCAAACAAAAGTGAGTGATAGATATTTGCTGATCAGCAAAGACTAAATGAGTTTCCCACTCATAGACCCTCTCCAAATGAAAAGATATATTCCCAATTGCACATTCAGGGACCTATGTTACCAGATTGAGATCAGCTAAAGTGAAAATATTTACACCACAGAATTACTAAATGCTACAAAATAGGACTATTTATTTCCCCTAAAGAGCCAGTTAATCTGAATGTGAATTGGTGCCCCTCCTACATGTATATATAGGGTGTCCCCCCAAAATGTGTACACACTTTGAATAATTATTAATTCCAATGGATTAACTCTGAAAAGAAAGAAACATCAATTGAGCTGTCAGAAAAAGTGTGTGTACATTTTTTTGGGACACCCTGCATGTTTGTGTGTATGTTACCATGTACACACAAATATTTAACATACTATGAATGTTTGACAGGTAACACCACGCTGTCAGTGAGCAATCGTTCCCATTGGGCTGCTGGGAAAAGCCATGTGGTCAGAGTGGCTAGGAAGCTCGTCTCTTTTCACACTGCCGTCCCACCCTCCTCTCCTCTCAGGATCTGGGGTTGTGTTACCTGTGACCCCACTGCCTTCGTGCTTCTGTGTCCTTGGCAAATTGGTCACTTCCTGGAATCAGAGCTAATATACTAATTGAGGATGTGTGCATCTGCAGTTGCTCAAAGTTCACTCTTTGAAGTAGCGAATCTTGGCCTGGCTACACAGCCATCAGTAAATGGTCTCCTGTTTCTCTTCATAATTGGCTCTTACAAATGGGTGAAATGCAGGCAATAAGACGCCTGGGTCAGGAACAGGCCTCTGCCAACTGCTGTCTGTGAATATACCTGCTGCAGATTTTCCTCTGCCGGTCACTGCCTGGCCAGTCCTCAGAGCCAGTGAAGAGAGGCTCCGGGTTCTGTGGGAGAGTTGTCCCCCCTTGTGCACAGAAGCCAAGGTCAGATGACTGGGAGCAAGGACTAAGAAGGACAAGGAAAACCGAGAGACAGGAAGCAAAGTGTTGGCCAGGACTAGAGAAACTGGTAAACGAAGGCCCCACGCTGGCAGTGGAGGCATGAGTGGGGCTGGAGGAAGGTAGAGATGGGAGAGGCAAAGGTCCTAGAGAGGGTCCACCAGCCTTGTGGTCCCTCTGCTGGGCTCTGCCTCAGGTGGTAGCTTCCTGCTGAGCTGGGGTCAGGCAGAGATTAAATTTCTGGCTGTGGAGAAAGTAGGTCATTCTGTCTTTGGTCAGGAAAACAGTATCTTCTAGACTGAATGTTGCTTTTCAAACTCCATGTTGTCTCTCAGTGTCATTGCCTGTCTCCCACTAAGGTCACCTGGGGAGAGTGCCTAGCACAATGCTTGGGACAGAAAGGGGCTGAGGGAGAGTTCACACAGTCATGAGGTGTTTAAAATGGCCCATGTAACTATTCTTGCACATACTGGATTCTTACAAAGTATGCAGGAATGCATTGGTTAGGTGTGAATGATGATTACTTTTTGGACAGTCTGTGCCCTTCTAGCAGGGGATCTTTCTCCCGGTCTCAGCCTTCCAAAGAGACTCACTTTTTCCTCTATTCCATTAAGCTTTTATTGATTTCTTATTTTGTTTGTTTATTTTGTACCCCTGGATGGCCCCGTTGGGAGCCACTTCTGCTGGAGACACATTAACAGGTGGTCTTGTTGGAGGAGGCTTCTGTGTTGGGGATTCCCAAGGCAGATCACAGGGACAGTGAAAGGATATCCCGAATTATCAATCAAATCTGCCTACTCCACCAGATTGGCTTCACTTCTTAATCGTTAACTTTTCAGTTTAATAAAATGCTGGCAGTTGCAGTGCTTTCAAAGGCGAGTGTCTGCTTCCGAAGATAAAAACTGCTTTTAGGGTGGAGCTGGGTGGGGTCCAGAGTCCCAGTCATGCAGGATGCCTGGTGACAGTCCTCTCCAGTGGAATTATAATTGGGGATTGTCCAGGTACACTGGGTGCTGGTGTCAGTACAGACACCTTGCAGGACATTGCTTTGCTTAGAGAAAACTAACATGAGTGATGCACTCAACTTGAGTGCATCACTTTTACCTGGAGACAGCAGTGAAACACTGAAAGGACTGGTCACTGGGCCAAGGGCTTAGGGACTTGAGGCTCCTAGCTGGTTTTAGTTGCACCAGGCCTGCTGAAAGGACCCCACTGTCTGGAGGCTACCTCACCAGGCAGAGCAGGAGAGCGGAGCTTTGCCCTCCTGAGAACCCATCACAGAGACCAGGAGCCTTGGATGAGTTTTCTGCTGAGAGGCTAAGGTGCCCCCAGTATCATTTCGTCCCAGATGATGCTGGGGTGTGGTGGGGGGATCACCTTACAGAGGAAAAGAATGAAAAGAATCTCAGCAACTTGTGATGTTTTGTAAAAAATTCACGCCATCAAGAGTTAAACTTGGGGAAAGGGGAAGAAAGGAGAAAAGTAAAATGTTTAGTCTTCAAAAGTATAAAGAAAGTGCTGGTTTTCCAGTTTGTGTTTTATCTCATAAAGCCCCTAGGGCCCTTGCGTCACTGCGGGGTCGGCGGTCCTATGAATTGCTGAAGGTGTCCGGTAGGACTGACAGGGGCCAACACAATGTGTCGAGTGCAGGGTAAACTTCCAAGTAGTGGCAAGATGACTGCAGCCTCTTAGAGAAAAACAAAATTGGATCCATGGAGGCAAGGCCAAGACCTTCAATTCAATTGTCTAAAGAGAAGTCATTTTTGGAAACCCAAGTACAGTGATTAGAAATGCACACACTGGTTTGTGCTTGCAGCCAAAGGCAGGCAGATGACGCTGGCCAGTGAACAGCTTGGCTCGTTCCTGGAGCCAGGGGCACTGTGGTCATGGCGTGGTGTTTCTCTAGGGAAATACAGTTGACATGAATAATCTATTCATGGTGAGCATGGGTAAGAGTAAGCTTTTATTCTTTATACTAAAACATGAAGATAAGACAAGTAAGACCTAAATATAGGAATGCCTCTTAGGCCATAGAAATGCTTTAGCTTCCACACTTGAGAGAAATTTTCAGTCTTTTGAACTTTCAAAATCTCAACCTAGCATGGTGCCCAACACATAGTAGGTGCTCTGTAAGCAGTTATTGAATTGAATTGTTTCCTCCCATAAATCAGTACATGCTTGTTATAAAACTCTGTGCACTTAAAGTAAAAATAACCCGAAATCCAACTACTTAGCATTTGGGGATCTAACCTCCCAGACATGTTTAGTGCATATAAGGTATGTATGCTTTTTCAAACCAGGATTGTGTGGACATGGTGTTTTGTAAACTGTCTCTGCGTCAGTAAGTTGGGTCCTTCTATTTCGCGTCTGCAAAGTGGCATATGTAACATCCTGTGTAAGGAAGAGTTTGTCATTCCTTTTAGTTTCAGACGTGAGACATCTCATGTGCTCTCCTTTATTTAGCAGGTTTCTTCTGCGGAGGTGCGCATTGGGCCCATGAGACTGACACAGGATCCTGTCCAGGTACGTCTCCATTACCCAGCAGGGGCTTTGTTCCTGGAGCACATGGTGACATGAGCAGCGTCTGAGCAACCCTTCTGGTACTATGGTAGACAGACATCCTGCCCCTACATACATACCTGTACATAGCACATAGTGTGTATATATGGGTCTTGCTTCCTTTTATTAATGTCATACCTGAGGAATCCAGTTGTTTTCTTGCAGACTTAAGCATGGCCCCATCTTGAGTATAAATAGAATTGCATGATGGGCTGTGAAGACAACCCTTCCACCAAAAACTAGTCCACTCCCACCCTGCCGCAGCCAGAAAGGGAAGAGGCGAGAGTGGGAAAGGGCGGGGCTTTGCCCTGAGCCACAGGTGTGTGTGAATGCTCCCTCTACCTTCCCCCCCCCCATTGCTTTTCAGAGAGAGTGGAACGGAGAGAGAGAGAGAGAGAGAGAGAGAGAGAGAGAGAGAGAGAGAGAGAGAGGGGAAACATTGATGTGGGAGAAACACATCAACTGGTTGCCTCCCCAATGCACCCTGACTGGGGCCAGGGATCAAGCCTGCAACCGAGGCACGTGCCCTTGGCCGAAATTGGACCCCGGACCCTTCAGACCGTGGGTGACTCTCTAACCACTGAGTAAACTGGCTGGGGCCCTCCCTCTACCTTTAACCAGCTGGGGGGCCTCTCATGTATTGCTCCACTTCTCTACCCAGTGCCCTGTGTGGAACATGGAGCTGATAATGCCTCTCCCATAGGGAATTATGAGTTAAATGGAATAGCATTGAGTGCCTAGAAGACTGCCTGGCCTGGAAGGTGCTCAATAAATGATAATTGTTGTTGTTGGCGGGGAAGAGAAAATGACAAAAGGCTCCTCCCCTTTGTTTTCCCGTGTGACTTGAGCCAAGCGGCCTTCTGGGCTCTAACACTGAGGGAACAGCAACTGTGTCCTCCCTCCAGCCCCCTCGGCCCCTTTGGGGAAACGTGTGAAAGGGTCTGTACCCTTTTTGATAACTGTCAAATTCCCCTCTGCATACCCGTCATCCCGGTGGGCCTGCATAAGGGAGCCTCCTCCTCATGGAAACGGCAGCTTGCTAGCACCTGGAAGCTTGTCCTGCACTTGGGACAAGTGAAGATGCAGCAGAGATGTAAACAAGTCAACCAGCATGTGGATGAAAGGGAAGAGCCAACCAAGGAAATGTACTGTTTGATTTATGAGCAAATGGAAAAGAAAATAATGTTTTACCATTGCTTGGAAAAGGAAATGCAAATCTTGGGAAAGGCAAAAAAAAACAGAAAAGGAAGAGATTTAAGCTTGGGAAAATTTGATGAAAACAAAATTAGGAGCCGAGAGAGAGAGAGAGAAATTTACTAAAATAAACACAAGCCACAACTATCTGTATAGGATACAAACAAGTGGAAAATTCCAGTAATCGTTCTGGGCGCACGTACTTTGTAGTCCTTTTCGAATAAAGGCAATGACAAAGGATCTAATAACAGTATTTATTCCCAAAGCAACTTCCAGAATATTTATTGGGATTAGTATAGTTTTTTAGACCTGTTAGTTTAATTTACTTTCATTTTTGTCCTGTGCTTACTGGCAATGCATGCTCATGATAAGGAAATCTCATTCTTTTAAAAATGTAATTTGTCAAATTGTAAAGTATTTCAAACATTCATAAAGGTACAAATATACACCCATGCCCACTTTTATCAAATATTAACAGTATACCCTATTCTTCTGAGTTTTTTTCAGAAACAAAGGTCTGCAGATACTGTTTAAGCCCTTATTTACCCCTTTGCCTCCCTAAGAGTAACCTCTCTGTGGAGGCTGATTATGATAGGTACTTGTATATTTATTCTGCACGTGTATTCATACATTCATAATACTTTGTTTTGAATATTTTTAAGCTTTATTTGAAAGGTAACAGGTTGTAGGCATTTTTCTTTTACATTGTTTGACGTCATATATAAGACTCTATTGCCTAATAAAGTCACCAGTTTACTCCTTTGTTGTTGTTTTTTTCCTAAGAGTTTTCTAGTTTTAGCTCTATGGTCTGTTTGGAGTTAGTTTTTGCATTTGGTGTGAGGTAGGGCTTTCTTCTTTTGCATGTGGATATCTAGTTGTCCCAGCAGCTTTGATTTGAAAATATTCTTTGAATTGTCTATTGAATTGTCTTGGCACCTTTGTCAAAATTCAACTGACCAAAATTATGAGGGTTCATTTCTGGATTCTCAATTCTGTTCCATCGACGTTTGTCGTGTATGCCAGTACCACACTGTCTTTATTACTCTAGTTTTGAAATGTGAGTTCCCCAACTCTCTCCGTATTTTTCAAGATTGTTTTGGCTTCGTTCTTTGCATCTTCATATGAATTTAGGACCAGTTTGTTAATTTGGGGGTGCAGGGGACCAGTGTGAATTTTGATAGTGATTGCTGTAAATCTGTACATCAATTTTGGGATTATTACTACGTTAACAGTTTCGTCTTTTTTTTTTTGCTAATCCTCACGTGAGGATACTTTTTCCATTGCTTTTCAGAGAGAGTGGGAAGGGGGGAGAGGGGGGAGAGAGAGAGAAACATTGATGTGCATCGGCTGGTTGCCTCCTAAATGCACCCTGACCAAGGGTGGGGACTGAACCTGCAACCCAGGTATTCGCCCTTGACCAGGAATTGAACCCATGACCCTTCGTGGGCAGGCTGACGCTCTAACCACTGAGCCACACCGACCAGGGCAATACTTTTGTCTTTCAATCCATTAACATAGATGTCTTTCTATTTATTTAGATTTTCTTTAACTTCTTTCAACAATGTTTTATAGTTTTCAGTGTATATCTTTCATATTTTTGTTAAATTTATTCCTGAAATATTTTATTCTTTTTGATGCTGTGGCAAATGGAATTGTTTTCTTAATTTCATTTTGGGGGGGGGTGTTCATTGCTAATGTATAGAAGTACATTCTTTTTTCTGTATATTGATCTTGTATTCTGCAACCTTGCTGAACTCTTATTTGCTCTTACAGTTTTTTGTAGATTCCTTAGGATTTTCTATATACAAAATTATGTTATTTTTTTCTTTTCTAATCTGAATGCCTCTTTTTTTGGTTCTCTGATTATCTTGCTAAAACCTCCAAAATAATAGTGTGCTTACTTCTATAAGATAATGTACTTCCAGATCTTTTTTCAAAGTGATTGTACCATTTTACACTCCCACAAGCAATACGAGAGTTCTGGTTACTCAAGTTCTTGGTTGTATTTGATGTTTCAGTCTCTTAGTTGTAGCTAATCTAGTGCATGAGTAATAATATTCTCTTATGGTTAAATTTGCATTTCTTCATGACTAATAAGGCTGAACACTTTTTTATTTGGTTACTAGCCATTTATCTTCTTTTGTAAATGTTTGGTTATGTCTTCTGTCTATTTTTAATTGGGTTGACTTTTATAAAGTAATTGAGTTGTAGGAGTTCTTTATATATTCTTATTATAAGTCTGATTTTGAGAATATTTCTTCCAATCTGTGGCTCTTCTGTTCATTTTCCATAAGTCTGGCTTTTGAGCAAAATTCTTAATTTCGATATAGTCTAATTCATCACTTCTTCCTGTGTTTGAAGAATCTTTACCTACTCCCAGGTTGAGAAGATAATTTTTCTTCTACAAATGTTTTAACTTTTAATTTTAGATCTATTCTCTACCTCAAGTTCATTTTTGTGTATGGTGTGATATAGAGGTCAAGGCTCATTTCTTTTCCCATATTGATGTCCAGTATTCCAGTTCCATTTGTTGAAAAGACTGTACCTTCCTTCCTCCATTAAATTGCTTTGATGCCTTTGTTACTGATTTTTTTTTTTTTAATCCTCACCTAAGGATATGTTTTTATTGATTTTAGAGAGAGAGGGAAAGGGGAGAGGGGAGAGGGAGAAACATTGATGTGAGAGAGGAACATCCATCTGTTGCCTCCCTTATGCACCCCGACTGGGGATCAATTGATGTGAGAGAGGAACATCCATCAGTTGCCTCCCTTGTGCACCCCGACTGGGGATCAAACCCACAACCTGTGTATGTGCCCCGACTGGGGATTGAACCTGCGACCTTTCGGTGTACGGGACAACACTCCAACCAACTGAACCACACCAGCCAGAGCTATTATTGATGCTTTAATATTTGTTGCAAGTTGTTTGGTGGCTAATCATGAAGATAGTTTTGAAATTAATATTCCACCAAAAGCTTTTTAAAAAGGTGTACCTTTATATGTTGAATACAGGGTTCTATATTCATTCATTAATTCAACTTTATTAATTATCCTATTCAAAACATCTTTATCTTAATTTTTGACTGTGTGATCTATTAGTGTCTATGGCAGGACCAAGCCAGTATCATCAACATCTGTTAATATTTGCTGACCTTTTGAGTCTGTAGTGTTAATGTGCATTCTTGATTATGTATGTTTTTTTTTTTTTACTTTTTTCTTGTTTCTGCTTTTTGTCACATTGAGCTTTCAGAATTACCTTTTATTTTCTCTGTTTTAGAAACTATAGATTGTGCTTCTGTTTATCTAGTGGTTGCCCTTATTTTTTAATATGCGCGCTTAGCAATCAGATTTTATAACAAAACCTCAAGTGTGCTGTATTTCTGTCATCTCAAACATGATCTGGTCCTCAGCAGGATTTAAATTTCCCTTAACAGCCCCACTCCACATTACTGACAAACAATTGTCTATAATTTTGGATTTATTAGATATATTAAAACATACAAAATATTTTTAGTTTGTACTCATAAGCTATGAAATATAATAATAAAGCAAATACCATGAACCCATCACCCAGTGCGAGAGCTTGAATGTTTTGAATGCTACTGTGTCCCCTGCCTGGTTCCCGGCACATGAATTTGGCCACAAATGACAGCAGATGGAAGTGGTCAAGAGCCCTTCTCTGAGTGAGGATAGGAATCATTGAGATTCTTCTTAAAAAGATAAGAGGCTTAGAGCTAAGGATGCCTTTACTGCTTGGCCTCATTCAGATGT